GGAATTGGAAGACACAAATTTCTCAGGAACAGCTGTGGGATGGTCTACCAGTGATGTTGAAGGGTCTGTGTCAATTCAGCAACTGTTCCTCGTGGCACAAGTTAATTTCGAACGTGCCGTCCAATAATGTTGGACCACGGTACGGACGGTGACACCGGATGTTGAAGACAGCAAGGCGTCTTCGCACCGTTTGGCCGCTAAAATAAAGTTGTCTGGTCCCAATTGTCCTCCTTGCCATATCAGCAGCACTTTGGAACCGATTTCGCAAGTGTGAAACTCGGATATTGCGGTCCTGTCGATCTGCTGTCACAATTGGTGTACCAGGTCGTGGACGATCAGCAATACTTCCGGTAGCCCAAAAATGTTGTTTGAGTCGACCAACAGTGGATGGATGCACATTAAAGTGCCTGGCAATCATCACACCTGAAGCACATTGGCTGAACATACCGATAGCCTGATTCCTTTTGTCGTGTGTCAAGAGTGGCATTTTCTCAAAGTGATTGAGTTTCACAATTCCTTGTGCTTTTAAGGACCAGGGTGTAGGTAATGTACGTGGATAACGTGTTTCATGAATTTAGTTTTTTTGTGGTTACGAAAAATGTCAAAGGTTCAGTTCTAGCATCGAAGTTCATGTGAGAGGAATGCTCGGTGACTCGAACTCAAAATTGGCCAGAGTGACCGCCTTTTTTCCCTACATCCTCTGTGTCGCAGGAAGCACATCTTCAATAGAACTTTTGTAAGTTCCAGGACAACAAATACCAACTGCGATTTAATGGCTTTCTGTATATATACTGAACCGCAAAAGAAGCGCAAGTTACTATTTTCAAAACATACGTTCCAAATGCATTCCTTTTAGGACAACAAAGTATACCATTATAGAACCAAGCATTCGAAGATAGTTTTGCCGTTGTTGCCGCTGATTCTTGACCATATCGACCAAACGCAATCATTTTCATGTTTTCCGTGTTTTTTGCATGAAGTTTTTGTGTTTCACACAAAAATGCGTGCATTTCACTCCAGTTTGAAGCTTTATAAGGCAGGTCATTAAAAAAACACCATAGAACACAAAATTGACTGTGACAACGCGGAGAAAACATGCCACGTCTAACTGAACAGCAACGATGAATCGCCGTTGGAATGTTGCAGACCGGATCCACACCAACTAAAGTGGCCAGGCACTTCAGATGTCACGTGACAACAATCACAAGACTATCCGCAAGGTATCGTCAAACCGGTAATGTTCCAGACCGACCACGTTAAGGACGTCCCAGGGTAACAACGCCAGCGCAAGATCGTCACATCCGGGTTACTCATCTGCGTAACCGACAGCAACGAGCAACACAGACAGCTGCAACCATTCAAGGGCCACAACATCACATCTCTGCAGACACTGTTCGTCGTCGTTTGAGGGCAGCAGGGATCAGATGTCGCCGTCCTTACGTGACGCAACGTCACCGCCAAAATCGTTTACAGTGGGCGCAACAACACCAGCGTTGGCGACGTCAACAATGGCAACACGTGTTGTTTTCTGATGAGTCCAGATTCAACTTGTCCCACGCCGATGGCCGATTACGTGTATGGAGACGATGTAATGAACGTTACGCCAACTGTTGTGTTGTGGAAGCTGACCGCTGGGGAGGTGGAAGACTCATGGTATGGGGTGACTTCAGCTACCACCACAGAACACGTTTACACGTGTTTCGTCAACGTGTGACTGCTGTAGTCTACAGAGACCAGGTATTTCAACACCACGTTGTACCGCTCTTCCAGGCCCAACCTCAGCTCCAGACGTTCCAGCAGGACAATGCTCGTCCTCACACTGCACGGGTCTCTATGGACTTCCTCAGAGGGAACAACATTGCTGTACTGCCCTGGCCCTCTGTCCCCGGATATGGCACCAATCGAGCATGTGTGGGATGAAATTGGTAGACGGATACAGACAGCTGCTCAACCTCAAAACCTTAGAGATTTGGAAGCCAGATTGGTCAGGGAATGGAATCAAATTCCCCAAGCCTTCTTTCAGACACTTGTTGACTCGATGAGACGTCGTTGTGCTGCCTGCATTGCAGCCAATGGTGGTCGCACGCGCTACTGATTGACACACTGTTTCGTGACATTTTGGTGTGTGAGGGTGGAGTGATAACATATGCTTTTACAGTAAACTTGAGTGTTGTTTTCACCAGAGATCACGACTCATTTCTTCAACAATCACTTGTCTGTTGTTTTTTCGTAGTGTTAGGATTGTTTGTTTCACAGATTCAGAAATATTGACATTTCTAAATCAACTTGCGTTTCTTTTGCGGTTCAGTATATATTACGCTTTATTCGCAAATATCTTCAACATATAGGACATGGATATATTTTGAGGCTTGTAGACTGATTGTGAGCGTATTGTATGTAACTACAGTTTAAACCATACTTCAGATCTTTATATACTGAGTCAAAAAAGAAACTTCACAAAATGTAATTTGAAAAATAATGAATAATTTTTTTTCTCTGATGATACATCTATGTATCCGAAATGGGATCCCTATCTTTCGACTCTAGAAAAACGTGAGCAAAACCCACTCAAACCCATCCATTCGTCGTGCAAATGACGTTAGTGCCAAATCAGGTTTTGCACGTGTAGTCGATCACGTGATCTTCGTATCGAAGTTTTCTTCATATGCACGTGTTTGCATTTGCCTCACGAATTGAAAAAACACTTTTAAACCACAGTTCTTACGGTACTTGAAATGTCACGATTGTCAAATGTGCAACGTGAACGTGCCGTTGGCATGTTGCAAGCGGGAAGATCAGTTATTGACGTCGCAAGAGCAGTGGGATGCAGCCGTCGTACTGTGAATGACTTGCGAGGTCGTCTACAACAAACTGGCACCACTTCTGATCGTCCAAGGTCGGGTCGTCCACGTGTGACGTCACGAGCAGAAGACCGTCAAATCGTCCTACGTCACCTACGTGACAGATTTCTGCCGGCTACACGAACCAGGGCTGAGATGTTTAGAGGGCGACTGTCCTCACAGACCATTCAAAATCGGTTTCGGGCTGCCAATCTCCATTCTCCACGTCCATATCGTGGGCCAATATTGACGCCGTTTCATCAACGTCAACGTCTGCTGTGGGCCCAACGTCACCTCCGATTGACCCAGAAAGACTGGAATCGACTCGTCTTTAGCGATGAATCCAGGTTTACCCTCAGATTCGCGGACGGCAGGCATAGAGTCTGGAGACGACGTCGTGAACGGTATGCCCAATGTTGTGTACAGGAAGTCGACAGATTCGGGGGCGGAAGTTGCATGGTGTGGGGTGCTTTCTGTGGGAACAACCGTTCCCGACTTCTGGTCATCCGTGGAAACCTCACAGCTGCTGTTTACCGCGACCAGGTGCTCACCCCTGGCGGCTCATGGCCCAGGCGGCTCATGGCCCAGGTCTACAGTTCCAGCATGATAATGCTCGGCCGCATACCGCGATGTTGACACGAAATTTCCTTCAAAACGCTGGAATCAACGTCATGGACTGGCCATCGAGGTCCCCTGACCGTAATCCAATAGAGCACGTTTGGGATGCACTTGGGAGAAGGCTTCGTGGTCTTCGGTGTAGCCTAATGGAACTGATTATGGCACTGTCAGTGTATCGAGTACATCACACAGATCTCAGCAATGAAATGATAACAATTTAACCATCTTACCATCTCTTGTTCTTTTATAGTGCCCTGAAGACAGAATGTGAAGTTTCTTTTTTGACTCAGTATATTTACAGCAGGAGGGTTCTTGTGAGCATTGCAATTGCCAAGTGTTGACAGCACTGCAAAACCACCGGTCTCATCATAGCGACTATTTGATTTGAACCCACGGTCAACAGGGTCAACTCTACAGAGTGAATAGGGTGAAAATAGGCACATGAATGTTTGCTTAAAACTACAACACTAAAACATGTCGATAGCTTATGGTCTGTCCGTCGAACCTTGAAGAGGAATCAGTTTCAGGTAACAAGTTATTTTTGTTTTATAAGTGTTGGTAAGGCAGCAGCAGCTGGAGCGAGAAATTCGCCGGGCACCACACAGAGACGGGCTACAAGGAGATACGTCAAAAGAGTAACTGAAAAGTATTGAAAGTTTAACAATGTAGTGATGCAGTTAAATTGGGGAACATCCTGGCAATTGTGTAATCGGGAATATGAATGAGAACAGCGCATTTGTGACTTGTGTGTTCGCATTAACTTTTCAGGACCCGTGAAGATCCGGGGTAGAATAGGTCTTCAGCAACCCATGTGCTTGCCATAAAAAGGCGACTATCTTGTCGTAAGAGGCGACTAACGGGATCGGGTGGTCAGTTTCGCTGACTTGGTTGACACATGTCATCGGTTCCCAATTGCGCAGATCGATGCTCATGCTGTTGATCACTGGATTGTCTGGTCCAGACTCGATTATTTACAGACCGCCGCCATATAGCTGGAATATTGCTGAGTGCGGCGTAAAACTAAACTCACTCACTCACTCATTAACTTTTCAGAATCATTATTTCCAAATGTCATTCGTTCTCGTTGTGTCTACAAAGTGGTGTAGGAAGGAGCATGAGTTGGTGTCTATTCTCGCGTTAGCAATATCGAGAAGATAACACTGACATTATAGAATGTACCCATGTGACCCTGTCGACGCTCTGACCACTTGCATACCACACAAACCTTGCTTTATGTTACGGACAGTGAATGGTTCTTGTGTCGTCCGATATCGAAATAATGCGACATATTCATCTTACTTAACCGATGTCTATATATAAAGGATATTACATCATTAGTCACACCAGAACATGTAAATTTGCGAAATAATAGTTTGTGAACTTCATAAAGACCGCTCTGCATGACAAGATACAACATTCCACAACTAAAAGTAACCTGAGTCGGTCAGTGTTCTCCTTTCCCTGAGAAGCATGTTACCATACCCATCTGTTGTACGGGTGTTTATCACCATTATCTCTATGACCATAACCTTACAGAAGAAAGTATTACAATTCTGCAAAAGTAGTTAACAGAAGCTGCTAAGATGAACTCTCTTGTTGTCGTTGCTTCTCTGGTGGTTTTGTATGCCGTGCAGGTAGGGCTAGGAACCCATGCGTTGAACGACTTGATACATGTGTCACAACACACATGCCATTTAGAATGTGATCAAATGTAACAGATTTTGTATTTTGGATTACACGTTCTCAGTAAGGTTTTTGGGTTTGTTTGGGTTGAGTCCAAGATTTTGGCCGTTGGAGCCAATTCAAACTTATCAGAGGGGTACACAAAGTCCGTGGGCTGGACTACCAGATGTCCGACTTCCATGATTGTGGAAATTGCGATGGCTGAGTGGGCTAGCCGGCTGACTTTGTGTGCTGGTTCCTGACTCTGAGAGTGTTGGTTCACATCCCGGATGGGACCCAACCCAACAAAAGTACTAGAATTTGTACTTTACTGAGAAAGTGTAATCCCAAATATAACATGGTTTACATGATAAATGTGCTTCAATCTTTGAAACAGCATTGCCGTATTGGTATATATGTAGTCTCGGGCATTGAATGGAATATCAATAGCCACGGCGTTCATGAACGGATCGTAACGCTACGAGTGCGTGAATGCGTGAGTAAAGTTGTTCGCCGCTTTGAGCAATATTCCCGCAAAATGAAATGGGTTTCACGCATTGTATCCATGTGAGCAATCGAATTTGTCAATTAGAGAATGATATCGGATCATCAGAGTTAGCCAGTACGAATTACCTTTGACTTAGCTTCAGAGTTATATTATATTTTTCAAGGAAAGGACAACATGACTCTGTCTATCCGAAATCTATGTCTCCCCACAGCTGTTCGTCTACTCCACTTTTAACCAAACAATTCAAAGGGACTCTTTGTTTACAGGCGCAAGATGCACCAACGACAGCGGAGCCGCATCCTCACCACAGTCATGCTTCCCATGCCCACACCACACACGAGCCAAAAGAGACAGAGAACTATTCCTTCGTCTATGACGGGAGAAGTGTACGTACAGGCCGTTTGTAAGGAAGAGGAAAACCAGCTAGCGCTGCATCATCAGCGAATTTAATAGTAGAAGGTTGATATAAATACATCGGTAGTGATTTGCTTAAAAGGCCCTATTCCCTTATAGATAGGAGAATGTGCACGCACATCCCAAAGTTTTCACGTGCTTAATGAGGTTGGATACTATTAAGGGTAGATAAAAGGTCTACAAATAAAAACTCGACAATACGTGACACATTGATCCAGATGACTTTACCTGTTACACATCGGTGTAAGTGTAGCGTCTTTAACATCTCATCTAGACCTGTACGAATATGACAATGGATGTAAAAGAATAACGATTGTTCACGATTCCCATCTGTAATTATCACGTCAATGTTGTTGGGATGATTGATTGCTATACCATTCAATGTGGAATGATAGTATTATGATATTGTTGCAGCAAGACCTGGTTATCAAGACAGGCGACCAATGCTACATCATGCCTTTGACAGATAAACAGAAAACCCAGGTCCATGACCCTGCCAACATAAAGAAAGTCGAGGTGATTCAATTCTCATAAAAGCAAACCTGATTCATTTGTTTAAAGATACGACTGAACGCGTGAAAACGGTTCGAGGCTGCTTTGAACTGCGAGAGGAAGGGTCGCTGTCGTAGAGTTTACAAAAGCAATGGACAATGTTAATTGTTGTATGATGCATGGTATACCTTTCATTACAAGCAAATAGTGTCACACACGGTTTATTGTGCTACAGACTGCTTGAGTGTTAAAGACTACTGCTCGTTCTATGTGTTGTAGGCTGGTGATGATTTGGACAGGTTTAGGTGTTATATGTTGTTTGTTGTGCTAGATGTTGTCTGGTGTGTTATGGTGTGCTAGAGTGTTTGTTATGTTATATAGTGCTTGAAGAGCTTAGACATTTCGTGACACAATGGTGTACTGCTGTGGCAGTAAAGCTGCTCGTTAAGTTACATACAGGCCTGTCACCTTGGCCTCGTTGTGACCACTAAATGTTGATGACAGCCCTGGAGAAGATCATTCCATTTGACGGAGTTCCTGCAAATGTTTGGGGAAGACTCGAATCAGGGCGTAAATGTCGCTCCATTTCATCCCAGACGTGTTGAAACTGTTCTATTAAGACTACTTGTAATTACGACTACCTATGTCATGAAACCACTTTGGTGTTACAGGCTAAAGCTCTCAAGCTGATCATCGACAACTCTATCCAGAGCAATATTGACCAGTCCATTCTTGACCACCATCTGGTACATTTCTGCAGAGGCTCCACCCAGGTCATCTTCCTCGCCAACAACTAAACGATGTTTCTATCGACATATCTGGACACGTACTACAACTTACCTTATTAGAATGGTATATGTGTGTACGAAGGAGTGAAATAAACTGACTACCGTACACATATAAGTTTAAGATTTGGGGGGGCTTGTTTTTTTTCGTTTTTTTTTCTTTTCTTTTTTGAGGGTGGAGGGGGGGGGGGGCATTTGCGACTTATATTAGCAATATCCCTACAGTAAAAGGTGTCATTGGCGTTCTGATATTACCCAGGTATTAGACATGATTGGATTAGATGGGATGGTGGTATTAGTCGTGATGGGGGGTAGACCAAACACTACCTCCGGCCAACACCAGGTCAGTCACTACCTCTGACCACGATACCTCCCACCACGACCACTGAACAGCACAATACAAACCACTACCACTGACCAACACTACCTCTGACCAATTAGGAGACACACATTACTGTGTTCAGAGTTAGATATCGAACTTATATTAGCTCTAGATTTGATTTAACACCAAATGCGTAGCGTGAGCCTTTAAATAAAAAATAGAGCTATATTATATTTTCGTATATACTTCTGATTTTCCTACACATTATGTTTATCGCCATTCTACCATAACCGCGTTATTAAGATTTATTTTTTAAATACAGACTGTGTTTGAAAATCAGAGGTATATAACGTGATTATATACCTCTGAATGACTTTGATTAACCAGTCACAGATAAACAACAAACCCTCATGAAGGTTGTGGTTTAAAGGCGTTGATTCCCAAGAAACTAACGGTTACAAGAACTCGGTGTAACAGTAACAGTGGCAGTCCGAATTCAAATATAAAGGCAGTGATCAATGAATCGGTTCGGAAAACAGTCCGAGGCTCAGTTTTCAGGGTAGGAATGATCTCCAGACAGCTGCTGGTTCTTTGGCAATGTGATGTGTAATGTGAGTTGAGAGGCAATCACCAGTTCCTCCTATAAACCGAAGAACACGACTCCTTGGGTCAGAGTATAATGGAAGATCCCATTCAGCTGTACCTTCTTGAGTTTTGTCTGAATATATCCCAAGTAGGATTATAGAGCACACCAGTGTCCTCCACTAACGAGTGGTGTGAAAGTATAATCAGCATCAGCGGTAATAAGGAGATATACTGAACCACAAAAGAAACGTCGCTTTTCAAAACCAGATGAAAAAAATTGTTCATGCAAGGTGGTATTTTTTTAATGATTGTACCGTTTTCTTAACATGTTTTTCAATCCAAATTGACAGTTATTACCAACATCTGTGTGTTTTCTGATGAAAAAGCATATTGACTACACGCACCGAAAAAGGCAGACATGGTAGAAGGTTCCGTATGATATTCGTGAAAACGAAATGCACGTGCAAGTCGTGACAACCTTACCAATGACAGCGAGTCCCAAACTCGCCTGAAATTATTTTAATTTTGACACAACCACCATGCCACGACTTACGAGAGATCAGAGGAACCAAGTCGTGGGACGATTGCAAGTTGTCCAGACTGCGCGGATGGAAGCCAATCATTTTAATGTTCATGTTAGGACAATCTGCCGACTGCAGGAGTGGTATCAGGTCACTAACAGCATCCAAGACCGTCCATGCAGTGGGCGACATTCAGTAACATCGCAAAGTCAAGACCGACAGATTGTGCGCCACCATCTACAGGATCGCTTCCCCAGAGCGACGGAAACAGCACGTCATGCTATTGGGACTAACAGCATACCCATCAGTGCCGATACAGTGCGTCGACGTTTGCGCGGAATCTAGGACAGAAACCTCTGCTATCGTGGTCCTGTCCTCACCGCTAATCACCGCCCAAACCGACTGCAATGGGCAACTCAGCATCGAAATTGGCGTTATCGACAATGGAGAACTATGCTGTTATCTCATGGAAGTCGACATTGTGTTTCGACAGTCGATGACAGAGAGCGAGTATGGTGAAGGCGCGGGGAACTGCTTTCCATTGCGTGTATTGTTGAAAGAGACTAGTGGGGTGGTCCAAGCATCGTAGTGTGGGGTGCAATCGGTCTGAACCAGTTAGTTGGCACCATGGTGTTCCAGAATCTTGGTCCAGGATGAGGAAATGACGTGACAGCTGCTCGCTATATTGATTAAGCCATAAGAGTAACATTGGACTTCCTAAGACAACATGGCATCCAAAGCCACCAATTGCCTGCACTCCGTCCGACTTTAAGTCCAATAGAAGACCTTTGGGACGAGATCCAAAGAAGACTGAATGACCTCCAACCAAGGCCGACAACTGCGACTGGACTCGATCAGGCATTTCGCAGAGTATGGACCCAAGTGCCTATGGCCTTCATCGACCAGCTAATTCATTCCATGTACAGACGATGCAACGATTTCATCGATGCCCATAGAGGCCACACACGATACCGACTTTGGGGTATCTTAATGGGACCATTTTTGGCGATTTTGTTTGTGTGAACTCTAAAAATGTGATTCCCGAAAATGTGTTAACCAAAATTGTCAAGTTTGAACTCAGTCCTCAGTTTTGATTTTTAATTGGAGTGAATTAAAGAGTGTGCTTTAAGAAACCGCTATCAGTGCGACATTTCTTTTGTGGTTCAGTATACATTGAAGGGTATTATAATTTCGTTTTATATCTCTGATTTTCCAACACAGTATTTTTATCTCCATTCTACCATAATCGCGTTATTAAGATTTTAAAGACATACATACTGTGTTGGAAAATCAGAGGTATATAACCTGATTAATCACTTTAATTAACCAATCACAATCCAGTATTTACTGGAGTCTTGGTAGAAGTAGTAGTTGCTAGTTGTAAGCATTCTTGCTTACACCGTCATGAACATTCCTGCCCCAACGAACAAACCACCACTAAGATTCCTGCCCCGTCAAACTCACTGTACTAAGCATTTCTACACACCAAAAGCACAAACCGTTCCTGTCCACTGGAATACACCGTCACACGCATTCCTGCCCACAAGAACACACTATCACAAACCTTTTTGTCCACTAGAACACACCATCACAACCTTTTGCCCACAAGAACACACCATCACAAACCTTTTGCCCACAAGAACACACCATCACAAACCTTTTGCCCACAAGAACACACCATCTGAAAACATTTTGTCCACTAGAACACACCATCACAAACCTTTTGCCCACAAGAACACACCATCACAAACATTCCTGGTCACAGGAACACACCATCACAAACATTACTGGTCACAGGAACACACCATCACAAACATTCCTGGTCACAAGAACACACCATCACAAACCTTCTGCCCACAAGAACACACCATCACAAACATTCCTGCCCACAAGAACACACCATCACAAACATTACTGGTCACAGGAACACACCATCACAAACATTCCTGGTCACAGGAACACACCATCACAAACATTCCTGGTCACAAGAACACACCATCACAAACCTTCTGCCCACAAGAACACACCACCACAAACCTTTCCCACTAAAACACACCACCACAAACATTACTGGTCACAGGAACACACCATCACAAACATTCCTAGGCACATGAACACACCATCACAAACATTCCTGCCCACAAGAACACACCATCACAAACCTTTTGCCCACAGGAACACACCATCACAAACCTTTTGCCCGCTAGAACACACCATCACAAACATTCCTGGTCACAGGAACACACCATCACAAACATTCCTGCCCACAAGAACACACCATCACAAACCTTTTGCCCACAAGAACACACCATCGCAAACATTTCTGGTCACAGGAACACACCATCACAAACATTCCTAGTCACGGGAACACACCATCACAAACTTTCCTACCAATAGGAACACACCACCACAAACTTCGCCGCCCACAGGAACACATAAGAGCAAATATTCCAACTATAAACCTTCCTGCTCTCTAGAACACACACCCATAAATAGTCAACTCACTGTGGGCGTCCGATCATTTGGTTTTTATTCCATGTGCCATTCACCTCGCTTTAATGGAGATTGTGTCAAGATAACACTATACAAATATCTGTCGGCAAATTGTGCCTTGAGGTTCCTTACTAATTGCATTGATTTTCAAAATATGTTAATGATGACAAATATGCATGACATGAAATGTATGCTCACACCAGAATAACAGTGTGTGACCTGAATAGGTTACTCCTCCTGACACATTTACCTTCCGTGACGTCATGTTTCTTCTTGTCTTATCACTGAGAACTGGGTCACCCGATCCATATGCTACATTCAATACATCACCCGCACCTTTAAGATATCGAAAACACAGGAAGCACCTATTATTTCAATTCTGGTCAAGTAGCTGAACAGACGTTGCCAAGATGAACTCTCTTTTTGTTATTGCTTCTCTGGTGGTTTTGAGTGCTGTGCAGGTAGGACAAAGTGAGTGAGTGAATGAGTTTAGTTCCATGCCGCATTTAGCAATATTCCGGCGGGGAACACCAGAAATGGGCGTCACACATTGTGTGGGGACTCGAAAGCGGGTCTTCGAGGTAGGAGAAGGAACCTATGAGATCATCCTGATTAGAGATATACCTTCATCTCTATCAAATATGATCACGTGTATTGATGTTTGTGTGTAAATAGGGTGTGTAAAATGTATTTTATGAAACCTGTGTAGACATGTGCAAATAGAAACGTCTAACGAGGTTCCAGTCATTTCGAGCAATATTCTTGAAATCAGCACCAGTCTTTGGAAAGAAATTAAAGAGCGTCTTACCATTCATAAACACGTGATTCATAAACACATACTCTGTTCACGTATCTCATGATGTCAATCACTGGATTGTCTGTTCCAGACTCGGTTGTTTACAGACAGTGTCGTACAGCTGTCATACAACTGACAGCAGCGTCATACAAACACTTACCCATGATGCAATCGGAATTGTACAATCGATTCTGCTTTTAGTAGAGATTTCGTACGGATGTGGAAAGGGTTTTGTCGTTACTATTTACTTCACACGTGTGTATTTATAGTTTGTCGTGGGAAGTACACATATATAACGCGATTCTTTGTTTGCAGGCGCAAGATGCCGCAACAACAGTGAAACCCCATCATCACAGTCACCAGACGCATGCCGCCCATGTCCACACCACACACGAGGCCAAGGAGACAGACAAGTACTCCTTTGTCTATGACGGGAAAAGTGTACGTACATGTTGTGAGTGTGGAAGGTGGGTTTAGCACCTCTTTAACAGCATGTCCATTATGCCATGGTGTATCAGCGAGAATTGTGAAATATATTCACGATCGGAGCATACGGGACACGAGTTTACATAGCAAGGTTTAGTCATAGACGTTCCATACACCGAAAAAGATCTTCTTCATATGAAGGTCAGGCATATCGGCCCTGACATTCTTGTCAGAGGGGTACACAATGTCCATAATTTAGGCTACCAGTTGTCAGACTTGTTCGTGGAGCAGCGACAGCTGATCCTACGATGGGTGCCTCGCCTCAAAAAGTTCTAGAATATGTATTTTAGTGCGAATGTGTAATCCCAAATTTATGTTATCTGAAATTCTTGCCAAGTACAACATTAGCCCGGCGCACACTGTACATTGGAGACTTGAGTATTCACGTGAATGATCATACACATTGTGGAATGTCATCAAAGGTTACAGATACACATTCTGAACGTTATACTTCAAATTGTGTTAGATTATTCATAATATATATTGTACATGTTCAGTGCATAACGACCTTAACGAAAGCATGCACATACATACACATTTTCACTTTGTACATTGAATGGTGAAAAAGAAACAGAATGGAACAATGATTATATCAGCATGTTGTATTTATAATATATCTTCAGAAATCGATCACTCAGGTGAACGTAGGTATTTTGTTTGGTTGCAGCATGATATGGTTGTGAAGACAGGAGATGATTGTTACATCATGCCTCTGACTGACAAACAGAGAACCATGGTTCACGACCCTGCTGAAATCAAGAAAGTGGAGGTAACACTGTCGTAGGATTGCCAAAATATACGTCATTCTCTAAAGTGTGGTAAACACACGAACTCAAACTGACAATATGTTTTCACAATATTTGATATATTGATTGATGTTTAGGGAGGTTGTGATTAACAATTAATTATTCCCTAAGCCGTACGACGTAGTTTGTACGACGAACCTTTGTAGCTTAAAAATCAGGTTCTCCAGGTGAAAAATTGAACCATGATGTATGACACATAAACAACCAACACAACCAGGTGAAAAATACTGTCGCATATGTTATTGGCAGAGACGAATGTTTCAATTAATGACACAGTCTGCAACAAACAACGCCCATGACATATGTAAATAGCTCACGACACACTACGGGTTGACAAGCAGGTCCACGCTGTCATATGCGGCCATCATGTGCAGGATCAGGTCTGGCACATTCGCCTCGCTGTGACCACTAAATGTTGATGAAAGTCATATCGAACAAATTATTTCCTGCGGGGATTCGGGGACTCGAAAGAGGTCGTAAATGTCCGTCCCAGACGTGTTGAAACTGTTCTATTAAGGCTGCTTGTGACATTAGACCACTTTTGTGTTACAGGCTAAAGCTCTCAGGTTGATCATCGACAACTCTGTCCAGAGCAATATTGACCAGTCCGTCCTTGACCACCATCTTGCACATTTCTGCAAAGGTTCCACCAAGATCATTATGCTCGCCAACAATTAAACAATGTACACTTCGTATCAGCTCGTTGCCATAACTACGTATCGTTATGAGGATGCCGTGTGAGAGTGAAGGAGCGAATAAACAGACCCTGGCATCATGTGTTTCAAATTTGTGTTGTGGCATACACATTAGCTAAGATTATACCTTTTCTGAAGTATAGCACAAATTCCAGTACACGGGAGGATGAGAAGGAACCGTACATATTTACTATATGTACATGTTAGTGAAATACACTGTAGGTTTTCTATTTTCCTGGAATCCTCTGTAGCTGCCTGGGATCGATTGCTGAAAGATTTATACGCTGGCGATTAGGTGCGTCGCTCTCAGAGTGTGGGTTCGAATCCCGGATGGAACTGAAACCGGGGTGGACAACTGTTGAGTGCGGCGTAAAACAATTCAAAAAAGGCAAAGAATTGTCATTATAGTTATTTGTATAGATATAAAGGGATACGTACACATAGATTGCCACCTATAGTCTAAGACACGTCTGTACACGCAGATTATGATTCATGTGCAACGACCTCTGAAATATCCAATGCATAATAGTAAAATGTAACAAAGTGCAACATATAACAGTGAACTAACTGCAACGCATAATAGTAGAGCAAACTGAACGCAAGGCAGTAAAGTATAACAGTCGGTCCAACACAGTACTAATGTGCAACAATTAGTTGAACACATGACTCTAATATCGAAGGAAACAGTAGACTCTAATAGTAAATTGAAACACATGATAGTAGACTCTAACAGTAAATCAAACATAACTGTAGACTCTAATAGTGAATGAAACGAATGACTGTAGACTCTTACAGTGACTGAAACAGTGAAACAGGAGATTGTGTGCGTGTCTGGGGCTTTAAGTCGACCGTTTCAGATTAATCCATATAAACGTTTATCGATCATCTCCTACAGGAAATATTAAGTACTAAGTAGGAGATACTATGTCCTACGTAGGAGATACTAAGTCCTACGTAGGAGATACCCACTTAGGAGATACTAACTCCTACGTAGGAGATATTAACTCCTACGTAGGAGATATTAAGTCCTACGTAGGAGATACTAAGTCCTACGTAGGAGATACTAAGTCCTACGTAGGAGATACTATGTCCTACGGAGGAGATACTAACTCCTACGGAGGAGATACCCACTTAGGAGATACTAAGTCCTACGTAGGAGATACTAACTCCTACGTAGGAGATACTATGTCCTACGTAGGAGATACTAAGTCCTACGTAGGAGATATTAAGTCCTACGTAGGAGATATTAAGTCCTACGTAGGAGATACTAAGTCCTACGTAGGAGATACTAAGTCCTACGTAGGAGATACTATGTCCTACGGAGGAGATACTAACTCCTACGGAGGAGATACCCACTTAGGAGATACTAAGTCCTACGTAGGAGATACTAACTCCTACGTAGGAGATACTATGTCCTACGTAGGAGATACTAAGTCCTACGTAGGAGATATTAAGTCCTACGTAGGAGATATTAAGTCCTACGTAGGAGATATTAAGTACTACGTAGGAGATAGTAAGACCCAAAAATATTCTCACCGTGGCCCTACTACGCTTCCGTACATTTAGGCATAGGTTGTTAGACGTTTAATTCACAGAACTATATTTTTGTAAGATTTCGAGGGCACTGCATGTGTGCTCGTTGTTTGATTTCCCACACTGCAATATTCCAGCCATTTCAAGAAAACCAGTCAGTAACATACAAACCAGTGGGTGTTTCCATGATCACAATACCTTACAATCAGCAATACTCACAGACCCTGACGGAGCTCATAATCCCTTCTCACATCATCCATCCGTCATTGACTGACCCACTGTCGTGGTCTATATTTGATGTAATAACCTGAAAATCGATAGTTTATACATATTATATTCTCACATTAACGGTACCATGATTTGCGAATCTCCAAAATCAACCGATTGACAGAAGAATCCATACTCGACAGCTGCATATACTCAGATTCCGGCTCTAAAATTTATCGCTTATAATGCTGAGGAGATAATATGGTCGATAACGTTTGCTCTTCAATAAAGCCGTAGAACAGCATACATACAGCTCACCACATCTGACAGTTGTTAAACCAACAGTTGAATAACTTATCGAAGCACCGTAAAATATTATCTTCTCGTCCACATCAATCATTTGCAATTATTGTGACTTGCATGGTTGCATGAAATGTGCTCGGTTTTGAACGAACACTTGTTTGTAAGCACGCATAGTGATTTATTAATACACGCTCGAGTTATAGACGAAATTCAATGGGTAGATTATTATGTTTTGTTGTTTTATCATTGAATTGGGGAGGGGATGCAGCAGCAGCAATAGAATAAGTAGTAGTAGTGAGTGAGTTTAGTTTTACGATGCACTCAGCAGTATTCCAACTATATGGAGGCGGTCTGTAAATAATCGAGTCTGGACCAGAAAAACCAGTGATCAACAACATGAGCATCGATCTACGTAATTGGGATACGATGACATGTGTCAACCAAATCAGCGAGCCTGACAACCCGATCCCGTTAGTCTCCTCTTACGACAAGCATAGGTTACTGAAGATCAGACCGCCTCCGTGGTGTAGTGGTTAGAGCGTCCGCCCGGAGAGTGGAAGGTCGCGGGTTCGATCCCCGACCGCGTCATACCAAAAGACGTTAAAATATGGTACTTGTTGGTCCCTGCCTGGCGCTCGGCATTAATGGGTACAACAAGGACTGGTCGGCTCGGAGTCAGTATAATGTGTCTGAGTGGTCTATTCATGCGGCATGGTATCTCATTTGGCTAGCACTATAAAACCAGCTTAAGTCTGGGCTAGTACAAGCAGCCCGCACATACACATACACACGCATGCACGTCGTCATATGAGTGAAATATTCTCAAGCAGGACGTTAAATCCCATTTCACCTCACCTCACTGAAGATCAATGTTAGCCCGGATCCTCACGGGACAGTAGTAGCATCAGCAGCAGCAGTAGCATTAGAATGGAACTACTCTCAGGAAGCGCTGTCCAGTGAAACCCACCAAGAATCTTTCAGTGAATACGAAGATTCCCAACCACTGCATCCTTCTGCATTACCCATAGTTTCAGAAGGTCTTCGTTTCTGACAGGAAATGTTGGGTACTATTTCATTGTCAGGCAACTGATTGGGAAGTTCCTCATCTAAGGCATCGAGAACAATGGGCAGTAATTTTGATGCAAACGTACATTTTGTAAGTGAGGTCCGCATATTTGTGATTTTCCCGAATCTTCTCAAGTACATAAGTCTAAAAACCAACACAGAATTCAATAATTTCATAATATCAATGTATTTATCTTTTTCAAACACTTCTGCGGATGCATACCAGAATATTCCAAAGAAGTTTTATGACCCCGAAATATCATATTATTCATATCACACTTCATTTTATTAGTCGTACTGAGTCAAAACCACAAGCATGATATAGCTTAATATTCTGTGTTTGTGTTAATACTATGCGTGTACTGACAAGCGGTTGCAAAATCCAGTTGAAGTAATTCCGTAATCTATATATTATAATGCAAGATCACACATTGACGGTTACGAGTGGGAGGTGACTAGTCCTGAGCAGAACGCTTCATGTTTCACTTTTCAGGCCACCATACAATCCAAGCAAGGGGCGATGTGGGTAGCCTAGTGGTTAAAGCGTTCGCTCTCTCACGCCGAAGCCATGGATTCGATTCCCCACGTTGGCACAATGTGTGAAGCTCGTTTCCGGTTTCCCCCCGTTATATTGAAGGAATATTGCTTTAAAAAAGCGAAGGACTCTCCCCTCTCAAAACATAAAGTCGATACAGCGATGATTTCCAGTGATTGTTTCAAAACTGTTTGTTTTCGCATTTTGGCATAAGTATAAATCACAACGTTCTATCCATGGTATGTATATATATGTATATATCTTTCCTTGTTTTAGTGTTTTTCCATTTTATGATTCAGTTTATTAGCATGTTGTTTCGTTTTCCTTTGAAACTCTGCATATTAGAGCAGCTCCATGCACACAACAGTTAATGTCATGTAAATAACAGTCCGCATTGAGAGTAAGAGAAATATTCGTCAAAACGACGCGGGACTATGGCATAAGTTATATATATGACCGTAATCAACAGCGCATCACCATCTTCCGAAAAGGGAAATGGGAAAATGCCGAACTATCTTCGAGGCCATGGTCGAGGAACTTCATTTTGCGAGCCAACATGTCGGTCATCAGTGACAACTGCATCCAGAAATTTAGGAACAATAATCAGAATGTCCAATTGCAATTTCTGCTAATGTATACACTTGGGGTTCATCACAGGTGCCTGACTAGCGTTGGCAGTAGCTCGTACTGGTCACAGCGCACATATACTGAGTCAAAAAAGAAACTTCACAAAATGTAATTTGAAAAAAATGAATACCTTTTCTCGGATGATACATCTATGTATCCGAAATGGGATCCCTATCTTTCGACTCTAGAAAAACGTTAGCAAAACCCACTCAAACCCATCCATTCGTCGTGCAAATGACGTTAGTGCCAAATCAGGTTTTGCACGTGCAGTCGATCAAATGATCTTCGCATCGAAGTTTCACCGGATCTGGTCGTCGGTATTCAGCCGTCTGTGGAATGCCCACATTGGCATGTGTTGTCAGTTTTTTGTCACCAATTCTGCTTTAATAAACTGCACTATTTTGGAGAATTTTGCTTTCGCGCACTGGAGCAAGATGATCTTAGGGCGCCCAAGATATTGGTTCTGTCGCTGCCCCTGGGGCTAGTCACATCTCCATTGTTTGCTAGCTTGTTCACTGGAGGGTGGTTGATTTCATTTTGACTGTGTAGTGTGTTTTTTTCTCGTTCGGTAACCTGCGTTTGGTCCAACCTCGAGGGCTTTGCTCTAAAGGGGTCATATATTACGCTTCCAAAAAAAGAAACGCATTGGTGATTTTGAGGATATTGGACTGCGGCAAAAATAATATAAATATACTATTTCCTTCGAAATAGCCTTTGTGTGATTGTAAACAGCCAAAACGCGGCAATTTTAACTTTTCCCCTGTTTTAGAAGCGTTTGAAAAATATATTTGCCAAAACGTTACCAAGAAAACATGCAAATCACAATACACGTGCAAGCATGCGGTACTGATCATTATGGAAAGGCCAACTTTGTTTTCAATTTTTGTCATTCGTTTGTCATGCTGAAAGCGCACAAATAAAAATGCGAGTAAGGAAAAGAGCTACACTTCAAAGGCTATCTTAAACATGTGTGTTTTTAGATTGGATTTAAAGGTATGAAAGTCACAACAGTCACTTAGACTCTTTGAGAGACTGTTCCAGGCCACTGATCCAGGACCACCCTGTCTTTCCTTTGGGATCCTGAGCATCGGACGTGTAACGGTTAGTATACAATATAGGAGTTTACAAACTCGACTGGAAGCCAGTGGCGAATGTAATGTGTTCATATTTTTCAGAGCGAGTCACCATGCGGGTGGCGACGTTCTGCACCTTCTGCAGCTTGGCTATCTGGGTCTTTGATACACCGCCCAGTAAACAGTTACAATCATCAAGTGCACTCATTACAAGTGAAAATACAAGAGTCTTGGCAGATTCAACTGTAAGACATTGGCGAATATTTCCAATGTTGCGGAGTGATATGATAATCGAGTGACAAGATTGAATCTAGGAACACGCCCAGGTCTTTGACTTGATCAGCTAAGTAGGTAGATACATGAATTGTCAAATTCCAGTGACTTGACTCCACACTTGGACCTCCGCTTCTCTGGACCAAGGAGAATGCACTCTGTCTTGTTGCTGTTGAGCTTAAGTTTGTTGTGGGTCATCCAGGATTTAACGTCATCACAGCATAGACTCGTGACTGTTAGTGGGCTACATGACTGTTCTTGGTCTGCAGGACAACAGTTGTACAGCTGTGCGCCATCTGCGTATTAGGGGCACTAACGCAATACATTTTCTAAAAATGGATTGTGCGTTTCCTTTTTTGAAGAGTGTACGTTTGGTCCCCCGTACCTAAGCGAAACACGGAAATGGATTCATCATCAAGTCCTCACAGCATAGGCCAGAAAGCATCCCCGCTCAACACATACCCATAAACATTCCTGCACCACAGAAAACACAAACACGTCTGCCAGGGACAACACACTGCGACAAGCATTTCGTTCCCACTGGAACAGCACCATAAACATTCTTGTCGCCACAGATGAATAGAAATCAAGGAGTTTACCTACCCAAAGCCTGACTGACTGACTGACTGACTGAGTTGGGTTTTACGCCGCTTTCAGCAATATTCCAGCAACATCACGGCGGGTACCCAAAGCCTGACAAATTGATTAGACTCAATGTTACCCCCCACCACCCTTGTACATCAATTAGATAATTCCCTGTTAATTGTATATACATGCTTAAATTCACCCTGGCTTCATGTCCATTACTAGTGTATATATATCCTGTACACCTGTTATTCAACTTTGACCTGACGAAGGGGCAAGGAAAAGCCCAGAAACGTTGTGTTTAGAATAAACAAGAAGTTGACATCCCTAATATTTTGTCTTATAGAATATAAAAATGGATTGTGCGTTTCCTTTTTTGAAGAGTGTACGTTTGGTCCCCCGTACCTAAGCAAAACGCGGAAATGGATTCATCATCAAGTCCTCACAGCATAGGCCAGAAAGCATCTCTTTCCCGCTCAACACAACACCATAAACATTTCTGCACCACAGAGAACACTGCCACAAACATGTCTGCCAGGGACAACACACTGCGACAAACATTTCTTTCCCAGTCGAACAGCACCATAAGCATTCTAGTCAGGAACAACATATTCGAACACAATGCAATCCCGCCGAGTCGATCACATCGCCACCACCATTACTGCCAATTAGCATACGCTGCTACAAACAATCCTACCGAGTCGATCACATAGCCACCAACATTCCTGCCCACAAAACCAGTACGTACACTTGTTATGGTACGCACGGGTACTGAATATTTGAGTGTGTTTATGATGTCTTGCTATATAAATGAAATGCCACGTGTAGAGAGCGAACAAAAATCTCTGAACTTGATTACCTCAATTTCCAATACATGTTTCAAATTCCAATACTTGATACAGACCTTGTTTGGCATGCTCTTATCACTGAGAAAGAATGTTACCACATCCATATGCTGTACTTCGTGTTCATCCTTATCTCTAGAGGAACGTACCCAAGAGGCATTTAAAACCCTGTCGTTTCAATCCTGCTCCAGTCCTTGAACAGACACTGCCAAGATGAACTCTATTGTTGTCATTGCGTCTCTGGTGGTTTTGTGTGCCGTGCAGGTAGGACTAGGAACCCATGCGTTGAACGACTTGATAAATGTGTCAGAACACACATGCCATTTAGAATGTGGTCAAATGTAACAGATTTTGTATTTTGGATTACACGTTCTCAGTAAAGTTTTGGGGTTTTGTTGGGTTGAGTCCAAGATTTTGGCTGTGTCTATTAACTCTTGCCACAAGGGAACACAAAGTACATGTACGTTTTCTAGACTGTCATGCTTCCAATTTTGTGGAAGCCATGTTGACTGAGTTGATTAGATTGCAGACCTCTTGTGCTAAAGACGAGGTGCCTCACTAGGAGAGTGTGGGTTTAAATTCCAAATGTGACTCAACCCCACAAAGTACTAGAATCTGTACTTTACTGTGAAGTATAAACCCAAACATAACACAGGATAAAGATTTAGACAAATAACCAACAGACAAAAGGTTTCGATTGGTATGTGCTGATGTTTGATTTGGGATAAGCAGATTCTCTGCCAGAATTTTAAGCACTGTTGAAGACAATTATTCCAGACTGTGATTGTAGGCTAGCCGTTGTGTAGTGACACGTTTATAGCTTTACCATATCATATGTAAAATACGGGAAGACATCGGTTCGTGATTGAACAATGTGGCCCATGATATGTGACCTATGACACCACTGTTTGTCGTCATGACACTGTTAAAATGCTGTTCTTGAAAGCGTTTGCTTGCCACTCGTCACAAATCGGAATTTTTGCAAGCATTAACAAACTGGACAGTGCAATCAATAATTCGCCCATAAAGGTGGCGATCTAAATCTGGGCCCCATTTCTAGAAAAGAACCTAGCCCAGGGATAGCCTTATTTTGATCCTACGGTCTATGACAGGTCTCCTACCTTATTCTCGAAAAGTATCCTAGCGCTAGGACTGACTGATTGACTGAGTTTTGGTTTTACGCCGCTTTTAGCAATATTCCAGCAACATCACGGCGGGGGACACCAGAAATGGGCTTTGCACATTGTGCCCATGTGGGGATTCGAACCCGGGTCTTCGGCGTGACGAGCCAACGCTTTAACCACTAGGCTACCCCACCGCCCCCCTAGCGCTAGGATAGCATAACATATGACAAATACTAGGATAGGTTCTGACGTGTCGCAAGTCTATCGTAGTGGAATTCAACATGGTGTTGTTTGTTTCTTACCAATTTTGATGTTCAGACAAATAGATAACTCGCCTAAATTACATTTGAGCCAACTTGATAAGGGAAGTAACTCCTGTGTATTTAATAGGTGAATTTTCACTTTGTGAAATGAAACATATTGGGGGGTTTAAGTCATGATTTTCATTTAAAACCCCAAATAAAATGAAAATATTTATGCACGTCTTATTGCTTTTTTGGGCAGACTTTCAACCTCTTAAGAAAAATGTTATCTCCTTGTTGAAAAAAATAAATTAATAAAATAATTAACTATTACAAAGTGATGAAAATATCGAATATATTAACATATAACAATTGTTTTTATAGTAATTCGAACAAAATAGATATTACAAAATATCATTAAATATTTTGTATCTATTCGAGTACGAGTTCACTCTATTTTTCTGGATACAAGATATTAAATATAATTATAACTATAATTAATTATAATTCCTTCTAGATCTATTGAGTCCATCACAGTCCATTTCACCATTTTCAAGCTCTTTACTTTGATTCCTAGTCTTTCCATTTATTTTGTAAACGAGATTATAGTTGCCCTTATATATGTGTTTTTCATGCAATGAATCATGGGTAATATTTATAGGAATCGATTGGTATGTGCTGATGTTTGATTTGGGATAAGCAGATTCTCTGCCAGATTTTTAAGCACTGTTGAAGACAATTATTCCAGACTGTGATTGTAGGCTAGCCGTTGTGTAGTGACACGTATATAGCTTTACCATATCATATGTAAAATACGGGAAGACATCGGTTCGTGATTGAACAATGTGGCCCATGATATGTGACCTATGACACCACTGTTTGTCGTCATGACACTGTTAAAATGCTGTTCTTGAAAGCGTTTGCTTGCCACTCGTCACAAATCGGAATTTTTGCAAGCATTAACAAACTGGACAGTGCAATCAATAATTCGCCCATAAAGGTGGCGATCTAAATCTGGGCCCCATTTCTAGAAAAGAACCTAGCCCAGGGATAGCCTTATTTTGATCCTACGGTCTATGACAGGTCTCCTACCTTATTCTCGAAAAGTATCCTAGCGTTAGGACTGACTGATAGACTGAGTTTTGGTTTTACGCCGCTGTTAGCAATATTCCAGCAACATCACGGCGGGGGACACCAGAAATGGGCTTTACACATTGTGCCCATGTGGGGATTCGAACCCGGGTCTTCGGCGTGACGAGCCAACGCTTTAACCCCTAGGCTACCCCACCGCCCCCCTAGCGCTAGGATAGCATAACATATGACAAATACTAGGATAGGTTCTGACGTGTCGCATGTCTATCGTAGTGGAATTCAACATGGTGTTGTTTGTTTCTTACCAATTTTGATGTTCAGACAAATAAATAACTCGCCTAAATTACATTTGAGCCAACTTGATAAGGGAAGTAACTCCTGTGTATATAATAGGTGAATTTTCACTTTGTGAAATGAAACATATTGGGGGGTTTAAGTCATGATTTTCATTTAAAAACCCCAAATAAAATGAAAATATTTATGCACGTCTTATTGCTTTTTTGGGCAGACTTTCAACCTCTTAAGAAAAATGTTATCTCCTTGTTGAAAAAAATAAATTAATAAAATAATTAACTATTACAAAGTGATGAAAATATCGAATATATTAACATATAACAATTGTTTTTATAGTAATTCGAACAAAATAGATATTACAAAATATCATTAAATATTTTGTATCTATTCGAGTACGAGTTCACTCTATTTTTCTGGATACAAGATATTAAATATAATTATAACTATAATTAAGCATAATTCCTTCTAGATCTATTGAGTCCATCACAGTCCATTTCACCATTTTCAAGCTCTTTACTTTGATTCCTAGTCTTTCCATTTATTTTGTAAACGAGATTATAGTTGCCCTTATATATGTGTTTTTCATGCAATGAATCATGGGTAATATTTATAGGAATCGATTGGTATGTGCTGATGTTTGATTTGGGATAAGCAGATTCTCTGCCAGATTTTTAAGCACTGTTGAAGACAATTATTCCAGACTGTGATTGTAGGCTAGCCGTTGTGTAGTGACACGTATATAGCTTTACCATATCATATGTAAAATACGGGAAGACATCGGTTCGTGATTGAACAATGTGGCCCATGATATGTGACCTATGACACCACTGTTTGTCGTCATGACACTGTTAAAATGCTGTTCTTGAAAGCGTTTGCTTGCCACTCGTCACAAATCGGAATTTTTGCAAGCATTAACAAACTGGACAGTGCAATCAATAATTCGCCCATAAAGGTGGCGATCTAAATCTGGGCCCCATTTCTAGAAAAAGAACCTAGCCCAGGGATAGCCTTATTTTGATCCTACGGTCTATGACAGGTCTCCTACCTTATTCTCGAAAAGTATCCTAGCGTTAGGACTGACTGATTGACTGAGTTTTGGTTTTACGCCGCTGTTAGCAATATTCCAGCAACATCACGGCGGGGACACCAGAAATGGGCTTTGCACATTGTGCCCATGTGGGATTCGAACCCGGGTCTTCGGCGTGACGAGCCAACGCTTTAACCTAGGCTACCCCACCGCCCCTAGCGCTAGGGATAGCATAACATATGACAAATACTAGGATAGGTTCTGACGTGTCGCAAGTCTATCGTAGTGGAATTCAACATGGTGTTGTTTGTTTCTTACCAATTTTGATGTTCAGACAAATAAATAACTCGCCTAAATTACATTTGAGCCAACTTGATAAAGGAAGTAACTCCTGTGTATATTAATAGGTGAATTTTCACTTTGTGAAATGAAACATATTGGGGTTTAAGTCATGATTTTCATTTAAAACCCCAAATAAAATGAAAATATTTATGCACGTCTTATTGCTTTTTGGGCAGACTTTCAACCTCTTAAGAAAAATGTTATCTCCTTGTTGAAAAAATAAATTAATAAAATAATTAACTATTACAAAGTGATGAAAATATCGAATATATTAACATATAACAATTGTTTTTATAGTAATTCGAACAAAATAGATATTACAAAATATCATTAAATATTTTATATCTATTCGAGTACGAGTTCACTCTATTTTTCTGGATACAAGATATTAAATATAATTATAACTATAATTAATTATAATTCCTTCTAGATCTATTGAGTCCATCACAGTCCATTTCACCATTTTCAAGCTCTTTACTTTGATTCCTAGTCTTTCCATTTATTTTGTAAACGAGATTATAGTTGCCCTTATATATGTGTTTTTCATGCAATGAATCATGGGTAATATTTATAGGAATCCCCAACTTTTCTATCTCACATGTACATGTGTTTGGATATCCCTGGTAAAACTTTGCCTAATAGCCCTTCCGGGTGATATGCCAAGTAAACTGTTCCTCGTCCTACTGATGCTACCCTTTACACTGATGGGGGCGGTGGGGTAGCCTGGTGGTTAAAGCGTTCGCTCGTCACGCCGAAGACACGGGTTCGATTCCCCACATGTGTACAATATGTAAAGCTCATTTCTGTTGTCCCCAGCCGTGATATTGCTGGAATATTGTTGAAAACGGCGTAAAACTAATCTCACTCACTTTCCCACTGATGAGTACCCGCTGGAAAAAGTATATCGATCATCCCCTCGCACAGAAGGTGAGTATTTTGTATATATATATATATATGTGTGACTGTTTTGCAGGCGCAGGGTGTACCAACGACAACGAAGCCGCATCATCACCACAGTCACCAGACGCATGCCGCCCATGCCCACACCACACACGAGGCCAAGGAGACAGAGAACTACTCCTTCGTCTATGACGGGAGAAGTGTACGTACAAGTTGTAACTGAGAGCGTTGGATTAACCACCGCTGTTGCACTATGTCCGTAACATCATGTTGTATCAGCTTGAGATGAAAGATCATACCGAACCAGGGACTGGAAACCACTATTTGGCACTTCCTAAAATCTTGCACATTTGCCGTTCTTAAAGAAATATAACGGATTCAAAAACATTTGCATCCCATACACCGAGTGGTGAAGTAGAATGGGTTAGGTTGGCATGTTGGTATTAAGATATGCCACACCACGTCCTTCAGACATGGTCCAGTCAGCTGAACTGGGGTGCTCTGTTTGGTTACAGCATGACCTCGTGGTGAAGACGGCTGACCAGTGCTATGTCATGCCACTGACGGACAGACAGAGAGGCATGATCCACGACCCTGCTGAGATCAAGAAAGTTGAGGTAACACGTTCGTAATTAAAGTAAACTTGATTCACTCAAGTTTGGTAAAATATATTAATAAGTTAACATTAACATCCCTTTCAATAGTGTCTGGTTCCGTGATTACTGATTAGAGAGGCTGCATGTGCTTTGAATCGGCAACACAACATGATCGATGGTCTGAACAGACAGTGTTGTGCTGACTATTTCGCCATTAAGGTCGCTTGTTGTTTTCGGCCGAGTGCTGTGCTATTCAGGCTGAGAGTTGTGTTTGTTGTGTTACCCGGATGTTGATGCACTACGGTCTGCCTGTTTTGAAAGTATTTATGCTTGCTATGTTTGATGTTTAAGGCTGCATGTTTGTATATTAACGTCGCTTGTTGCGTTATTGACTGCTTGTGTTATAGATTATTTGATAGTATTTGATGTTGTGGTTTAGACCTCGTGTGCTCTTAAGCTGATGTATCTGTTTTTAAAGCTGCCGTGTAAAGTATACATTGGTATTAAGTCTGTTGTTGTGTTGTATGTACAATGTTTTTGTGTGTTATATATACCATACTTTGTGTGACAGGCTGCGGCACTCAAGCTGATCATTGACAACTCTATCCAGACCCCTGTTGACCAGTCCATTCTTGACCACCATCTTGCACATTTCTGCAAAGGTTCCGCCAAGATCATCGTGCTGGCCAACAATTAAACTATGTTCCCATTGTCATAACGTTTCTACTCATGTAACTTAAGATGCCCTGTGGTTGGAAGAGAAATATAAACTGGATTATGGAACACTGTGTTTTACCTGTGTGTTTGTGGAATATACCATATGCGTTAGGCACAGACACAATCCGGACTGGCATGATACAATTATCCCGTTAAAATTAGATGTAATACGATCTGAGTTTTTGTTTGTTTGCATTTGGCGTACTCAAGGTATAAGACGTGAAGCACTAGCCACTGAACACGTCGTCACAGGGATTCCTGCAAACTGAACTCACCATCGTTCCTGCTCATTAGAACATTACACCATAAGCATTCTTATACCATATATCATACCAACACAAGCATTCCTACATCCAAGAACACACTGCCACAAGCATTCCTGCTCCATAGAACACACTGCCATAAGCATTCCTGCTTCATAGAACACACCAACCATAAGCATTCCTGCTTCATAGAACACACCAACAAAAGCATTCCTACTCCTTATGACACACCAACACAAGCATTCCTGCTCCATAGAACACGCCAACACAAGCATTCCTGCCCATAGAACACCAACACAAGCATTCATGCCCCATAGAACACACCAACACAAGCATTCCAGCCCCTTAGAACACACCAACACAAGCATTCCTGCCCCATAGAACACACCAACACAAGCATTCCTGCCCCATAGAACACACCAACACAAGCATTCCAGCCCCTAGAACACACCAACACAAGCATTCCTGCCCCATAGAACACACCAACACAAGCTGTCCTGTAGACCATCTCTATTGTGATGTCAAATTGCATGTTGTTTTGCAGAGAACAAACATTTCGTAACATATGAAATATTTCTCCATTTCATAATTCACACTCCACTATTTCAAATAGCCCTAGTTCGTCGTTCTGTTCTTATCACCGAGAAAAAGCATGTTACCACATCCATATGTTACACTCATTTTTGTCATCCTTATCTGTAGTGGAACACACCTCAGAAATATATTATTTGAATTCTGCTCAAGTAGTTGAACAGGCGCTGCTAAGATGAACTCTCTTGTTGTCATCGCTTCTCTGTTGGTTTTGAGTGCCGTCCAGGTAGGATAAAGAATCTCTGATCCGAATATGTTCTTCATAACATACCTTAATCTGTAACAATTCTGTCATGTATGTATCTATATTGGATTAGAGGTCACGATTCGCCAAAAGAAATTAGTTAGTGCTTCACCATATAACACAAATATCAGCAACTACGTTAATACGAGAACCGAAACAAAACAATATGCAAGATCAATCAAAGCAATTGAAACAAAAAACCTTTAGCACTATGTTTTCTCATAACTGAACTCGACGTGAGGTCCAGCTAGCAGGTATTTACAGAAAGGGTACATGTTGCAGCTTAATCAATATTGTGCGAAGAACAGAACAGTGTCTACATTACCATTGTTTAATTGTGTCCGGGAGACTATCTTGGAGTTAAAAAGTACTGAATCTAAAACCTGAACCTTTGCCAAGGAGGTGTGCATCCTTCTATGACCGAAGGAGGTTTTTTGACAGAGACGAACGAAGGGATGACTTTGTGTGATCAAGCCATATTACTGTGATCATTTCTTTCGAGACCCATGGAAACGACCCGCGACTGCTTTTTTTTTGTTCGTCTTTGAAATTGATAGACAGGATAAAATATAGATAAACAGGCACCTTTCTATATTTATAAGAAATCTCTGCCGTGTGTAGAGTGAATTGTACATGAGAGTGGGGGCGGTGGGGTAGCCTAATGGTTAAAGCGTTGGCTCGTCACGTCGAAGACCCGGGTTCGAATCCCCACATGGGCACAATGTGTGAAGCTCATTTCTGTTGTCCCCCGCCGTGATGTTGCTGGAATATTGCTAAAAGCGGCGTAAAACCAAACTCAATCAGTCAGTCAGCAGCATGAGTACGATTCATTATCACATCGCGACAAGGGGAACATATCTTGCCCTACCTAGGACACCTGTCACAAACGCATGCACATACATATCGGACATCGTACTTGAAAACTGAAATGTCTTGTACGTGTCCACGATACCCTTTTTAAAACATTTAATTTGATCAAACAACAATGGAGCAAGAATGGTACGGCTTTTTGCACATTTTGACGGGGTATATAACACCCTTCACTGTATCTTAAAGGTTGTTAAATATAGACACCAGCTGCGGGACTATTGCTAGACGTAGAGGGATAGCTGACTATTGGAAAGTTAAAGGTGTCTTTCTTTGATGTATATGATTCGTAACTTTTTTGCCACGTTACTTTGACTTCGCATATCCAAGAAAGAAACAGATCAATAAGAATGGGGGCATATTTTACGCCTATTCCCTAAGTGTCACATCACAATAATTTTTCACATAATATTATCTCACTTAAGGGCACATCTTCTCAGGCTTCTGTTCCTCATACCATAGATCCTTTTTTTCTTTATTGATACACAACCTATGACGCATGCAGTTTATATAGGGGCATAACACGGAACATTATTTTTAAACGAATCCTTGTTTCCACCATAAAGACGAATGAAATTAGCCTTGGGCTACAGCTGAAGCTCACACCACGATGCCGTGCTTTGTGGTGACAATCACCACCATATCGCTTCTACAAACAAACAAGGACATGATTTGTAATGATCATGGTGTGTCGTCTGTGTTACAGGCATCACAGTGTAGGCGCTTCTTAATCTTGCTGCTGTCAATCCTGTGCGGATGACCTTTTTCTACTCATTAATGCTCTGCTTATGATTGTCGTCAAGGTCTGCCGTTATTTACATAGTTCATGTCACCTGTTTAAATATCCTTTGCACATTCAACAACTTGTCCAGTAAAAGGACATGCTTATGACACCTTGACGCTTTGCCAAATCCCTTCTTAAAGGTGACACTTATAACCTGGTGGGAACTTCTGCAGCTGTCGACCAGTTGGTGATGGCGAGCTGAATCTATTGTCACCGGTTTAATTCTCCATTCAAAAACCGTTTGATACACTGTTGCATTTGGGAACATTCAACCTACATGATGAGGCGCTTGGTAGCGGCAAGTCATACATTCTTGCTGTGCAGGAATTGATGACTGCTAACTGCCTGAAGTTCAATTCAGACAAGACAGAATTCATCATTTTGGTAGTCGTCAACAACTGACCAAGACATCCATGGCACCAATCGTGGTCAATGACTCTGTTGTTGCTCCAGCTGATCACGTTAAAACCTTGGTGTTATCTTTGACAGAACAATGTCCTCTGACAGGCAGATACTTTCTGTCGCTTAATCTGCATCCTGGCACCTGAGAAACATCGGGAAGATCAGGAAGTACCTTAATGAGGACACCGCAAATTACTGACACACTGTTACATAACTTCCCGTCTGGACTATTGCAACTCACTGATCAACGGTGCCGCAACAGTGCAACATCTCCAGAGGATTCAGAATAATGCTGCACGAGTCATCACAAGGAGCAAACAGATCGCCCACATCACTCCAGTGCTACTGGCTCCCTATCAAGCAGCGTATACAATACAAGATCCTCACCTTGACGTACACAGCGTTATACAGCGACACTGCACTATAGTATTTAACGTCCCCATTCTGTAACTACTCGCCTCTTTCCGTGACCTACAAGAAGACTCGTACCCCTATCGTACACAACTATTGCCAAGAATCGTGGCAAACCAATCAAATCGCGCGTAGTAAAACGCATTTCGAAGCATGAAAATGGCGGCCCTGTTGAACTTTGAAACTTCGCTAAACTATGCAAAGCACAATTCAAACATCAACTTTGTGCCAAAGGAACTTTCAACACTGAAACATATTTACAAAGGGAATGACTGTATTGCTGTTTTGCCCACGGGATATAGGATATTCTAGGAGCCATGTTTGGAAATTCAGAGTTTTCTTTCCTTGGTAATCGTACTAGACTATTTCATCTTCATCCCCGTTTGCGCTTAGACAGGACCCAGTCGTAAACATGGCTACGAGAGGGTTACGAGACGCCATCCGGCTTGCCGGAATGACACGAGTAGTTACGAATGTAACGTCCCTAGTTCACAAGTATTGTCCGAGGCGCCTCCCACAATACGTTCAAAATGCAGAAGAGCATTCTCCTCACAATCTTTGTGGAATCAACAGCAAAACAGGTGATAGAGCATTCATTCTCCCACTTTTGTAGCCTTGAATCACCTGCCACAACAGATGAAGAGTTCTTAGAGACCTACATATCATCAGACAGCCTTTTAAGCGCCATTACTTATTATCTGTTTTATTTTATGAATCAATTATTACTTATTTATTTTTATTTATGATGTTTTTCGTGTATTTATGTTGGTTTTCTTTCCAGATGAACTGTCCCTGTCCTCCTTATGCGATCTTATATATTGCTCTATACGTTTCACATATCATGTCACCGACCGAACATCATTTTTAGACAGATATTCAAAAGCATGATTGATTCCAGGATACGATCATCACACACAGTACTGATCTTCTGGTGACTTGAGATGGAATGTGATATGAGAAGCAAAAGCTCCACTTATATACACCAGAACAAGATACTAGGCATTCCTTAAAGAGATAGATGATTCTGGAAAAAGCTCCTTGTAGCCCTTTCCAGAGCTTTCTGTCTAAATTTAAAATAAGTCTAATTACAGCATACCATTGCCCCTTCCTGAATCTACAGGTACCTTGTATAACTGTTGACACATGCTCCACACGTATAATACTGCATCATAACCCCAAGAACATTTGTGAGAATAACCTTGAAGATTCAAATGCAGCCTCACAATTGCTGTCCACAGCACATTTTGCCAAACACATTAGTGAGAGGAGTTACCACAAGTTAGGTATTTTGACAATAGTAGTAACCAGTCATTACCAGAATTCTCATAAGTACCATCTTGTTTTGCGGAACTGGGAAATTTTAAATACGGTTAAACCTTCACTAAAATCGGCTGTATCTGACCTTGGTCTATGACAAGACAAAACCGTTCACCGTTCACATTCACAAATGCACACTTTGGTAAATTCAGAGTCAGCTTGACTTCAGTGTATCTTTTGAACAACACAAGGGTCCTCTTATGGTGTTCAACCCATTCAATCGAATAAGTGATGATACCATGGATGTAGGTGCCAACTCCCACCAGACTACCAGCAATGCCCACATGGCACACCCTGGTGTTGATGAAGTCTATCTGGAGTCACCACTTGACAAGCCATTAGTGGCAGTCTGCCAATACCTCTTCATTACTCAAACTCGCTGAAGTACTTGACGCGATTCTTGGTGTTGGACAAGAGTCAGTTTTAGAAAGGTTTTATGTCGGGACAGAATCTGTAACTTCCATCCAACAATAAAAGCTGAACATCAGTGACTTTGACTTGCGGCAATAACGTCATTGTCAAGCATGTTCTGAAACTGTCTTCATCTGGTAGGGATGATGTTTCACAGGCACAGTGCCACCTATATCTACATAAACGCACGTTAAATATATACTGTCAGGTACATCCGGAAACGAGTGAAGTAAGTTTTTTGCTATAAACGACCTACTTTAACATCTAAGTTGGCTAGAATTTCAGCCTTTCATAGATTAGGGTTAGCATTGTTAGCAAAATCATCAAACTTCACATCTCTCAATTGTATAACAATCTGATACATTATCCACAAGAGCAACAGTGGTAGCACACTGTGTCATGTCGTTCATGATACTTCCTGATCATACTGACGTCACGGACTCTCTTATCAATAACATATGGCCCACCTTGCACGTAATGGTTTTCCAGGGATTGGCAAAAACACGAACACTTATCGGCAGGGCTGAAATTTATCTCTTGAGACTTCTTGTCTAATTGTACTTTTAACTTCTCCTCAGATTCTTTCAAGTTATCTCTAGCAACGTCACACTGTTTTGAGACAGAGAAGGATTTTGATGAAGACATTCATTTGTTGTCGTTGCTGTGAGGTTTCACCTATATAACAATCACCACATTAGGTGAAACCTCCCGTCCCGCTGACACCCGCATAAAAGAACATAAAACCGCTACAGCCAAGGCAGACAACAAATCAGCCCTCTCAGATCACCAGCAAATGAGAAATGAACTGATTTAGGGCTTAAACGATTATGTGCATATTCGCAAGGACTTCTTAAAAATTGTCGAAAATTCACCATGCATGACGGAAAAATCTTTTCATTTTCATGTAGATGCATGATGTGTAAGCAAAGGAAAATGACAGACGTCTCTCCACTATGACCAAGGCTTAGATTACTATATGTACACCCGCAGGTTGTGGGATTTGAACAGTTGTTTGTTTCTTTTTAGATTACAATCAAATCAGTTATGAAATTTGAGTGTGTGTATACATTGTTTGATCATTTATATGTTAAGAACTTTGTATTAAATATATCTCCTTGAATTAATACGCAGGGACACACTTTCACCTGGAGACAATTTCGACACCTCACAGTTGGACACAATGGTGTCTGACTGTAATGCTATGTAACTTTGTTTACAGGCGCAAGATGCCGTAACAACAGCGAAGGTGCATCAGCACCACAGTCACCACACGCATGCCGCCCATGCCCACACCACACACGAGGCCAAGGAGACAGAGAACTACTCCTTTGTCTATGACGGGAGAAGTGTGCGTACAAGTAGTGCGTGATATGTATCCAAAACCGTTAAGCCTACACACTATATTATTGATTTATGCAGATTATATAATATTTTTAGAGTGTGGATAATGTATGAAATATAGATTTTCGAACTTGGTATATTTGGCCCATAAAATTCCAAGAGCCCTAACTATGTATTGCATATATGCAATGTTTGCCGATCTCAACTTATTTAAATGCCTCAATTAATTGTGAAAACGAAATAAAATGGTCCACGGCTTACGTCCACATGTTGCGTCTTTATGATATGTGAAACGACATCGTTCACTGAGGTGAACTGGGGCAATTCGTTTGGTTGCAGCATGACATGGTGGTGAAAACAGCAAGCACCTGTTACATCATGCCTCTGACGGACGCACAGAGAGCCATGGTCCACGACCCTGCTCAAATCAAGAACGTGGAGGTAACCCATTCGTAGTGCTGTCACTATGTTCGTGATTCTGTTAAAGTTTGGTAAACATATGAACTCCCATGAACAATATTGGCCGAATTCTTTAACAATATCTGAATTATTGATAAGTCGTGAAATGACGTGACACATAACATCATGTTCTTCAAACCACATGGTCTGTGGTCTGTACACGAAGGTAATGGAACCTTATGTCAGCCATGCTTTCTGTTTTGCTATTAAGGTTGAATGTAATGTTATATAGTACCCGCTGAGGATAGGGTGTCCGTTCGTAAAGGTCACATGTTGTGTTATGATTTGCTGTTGTGTTATTGCGCGCGTGTTGTGTTATTGCACGCGTGTTGTGTAATGGTCTGGTTACAACATTCAGTCTGCTTCTTGTGCTGCTAAGGCTTATTGCGATGCCATTTGTGGTGATTTTAAGGTTGTTTGGTGAACTGTAGCCTGCTTGCAACATTAACTTGTGTTATTTAAAACATCTTGTGTTATATAGACTACCCTTTGTGATATAGGCTGCAGCTCTCAGGGTGATAATAGACAGGTCATAGCCGTCGCTCTATTTCATCCCAGACGTGTTGAAATTGCTTTTTAAGGCTGCCGTTTGAGCTTTCGACTGCTTGTGACATTAGACCATTGTGTTACAGGCTAGAGCTCTCAGGCTGATCATCGACAACTCTATCCAGAGCAATATTGACCAGTCCGTTCTGGACCACCATCTTGCACACTATTGCAGAGGCTCCGCTAAGATCATCATGCTGGCTAACAATTGAATAGGGCTCCAGTCGCCATAACCTGTCCACTGTGGTCACGTGGCAAGGTTCTTTGGATGTCGTGTGTGTACAGTGAAATAAACTAACTGTCTGACACACCTGTGTTTCAATTGTGTTTTTGTGACTTTTGGAATATACGTTTAATATAAACTTATACAGGTTCTCTGGAAAAGGAAGATTGGCTTTCTGACGTTATTACAAGTATGTCATTCATTCTCTCGGAATTAAACTCAGACATATGGAATGGGTGCATATGATATGATTTCATGTTTCATGTTAAGATGGTCGCAAGGGCCATACATACATTAACCTACGATTACCGTAGCTCTAAGAGAGCCTGGAACATAATCAGGAATACCCTGGTTAGTTATATCGCATTTCTAGCAATGTAAAATACGTTTTATCACCACGTGATTGACATCAAGAACATCTAACTACGCTTCTTATTTGATGACATGCATCATCCCAGTAGGGAAGTCTGACCACCCGATCCCATTTCTCATCTCCCACGACAAGCATAGGTTGATGAAGACCAATGCTAACCCGGATGTTGTCGTGCTTTACGACATGCCGTACGTGTTCAACCACACTGTAAACTCTGGACAACGACTGAGACGATTTAGACCATAAGGACAATTCATAGCCGTATGTCAAATGTAACTGTCCTCTGTAGAGTTTGGATGCCTGTGACTGGACATGTTGATAGTTCCCAAGACTTATAACACGTGTATTTATGTAATTATGTTTTGTTTTGGGTTTTTTCGCTTGTTTGTCATTTGTTTATTTGCAAGATTTAGTCGGTAATGTTTAATGCCGAAGACCTGGCCTGTCCATCACAAATAACTCAGTTGTTTCATCGGCAGACACACGACTTCTTGTTTATTGCACAGAGCGACATAGCGTTAAGCTATTCCTAGATCGGTAGTGGTGTAAGCATCTACACCGAAACGTCGATCTATGCAATAAACAAGCAGATGTTAACACAGACTCACAATTAGCATTGCTGACCGACCCAAGAGAGCTAATAGTCGCACCTGACATCACTGCTTATCTTTGTCTTGGTCTATACTTGAAACAATAACCTGCGACAAAAATGATTTTAATCATTTCATTGGACTCAAATCGACGACGTCTTCCACAAGTAGTGTGTCAACACAAAACAGAAATATGGTCCATACCTGTGAGCTCATGTAGCCAACGAATTCCTATTTAAATATTCAATTGTAACACAACTTATTGAAGCGTCATAAAATATGTCTTGCTAAGTGGAATATATCCACTTCTTTGCTTATACAGCCATATTCATAATCGTGATATTGCAGACATGCATATCTAGATAGGAGACATTGAGCGAGTAATGAACAATCGATTAATGTGTATATCACAGAGTTTATGCAACATTACTCCGGAATGGGCTTTGAGTCGATGTTGTTTCATAATTGGCACCGTTCTCATTGCCTAATTCTCTGTACAGGTGTGCCACAAACCTTCGGTCGTGGGTTCGAATCCCGACTACATACGAATACTTGTAGGTGTCGCTGAACCGGTCAAACCGAAGGTCTGCACTACTTCTGGTATACCTTCCACATCAACTTCACATCCCGTGAAATACCTGAAAACACTTTCAAGACCAGCAGAGGTAGTGGTTGGTCTAGTGTTGGTCAGAGGTAGTGCTTGATACGGTGACTGGAAACAGACCAATGTCATACACAATAACGTGATACGGAACAGTATGAGACTTGGCACCGCTCGGAAAACACCACCAGACCAAACACCCTGATACAGCGCTGCATGATACAGGACAGCGTGAGATAAGACAATGCCAGCAGGAAACAGAGCCTTCCCACCGTCAAAGCAAACAACATGAGAGATAAAACAGTGTGACAGAAAATATACAGAACATGTAGTACAGCGTCATGCAAACACCATGATAGAGAACACTCCTGAAACCCATTTAAGTGCATCAATGCACTGTATGCGATCTTCCGCGTAATGGTTGAATGCAGAAACTACAATGAATAATGCGATCAAACCAAACTGACATTTGCGTTTCATCTGTGTAATGCTCGTGAGTTTGAGTGGACTCTAAGAGTCAGTATTGCTATTTCTGCAAGTAACATATGCGTATGTATTACCACGCAAATATTGTTTCTGAATGGCATTTAGAAGTATCACTATATAACAGAGGTTGGCATCTATATTGTTCCCTGAACATAAATATTGATTACGCCGGGTGCTCTTGTCAGCCTTTCAAAATTAGAACTATTTTATTCACTGTTAACTATCTACCTTGTTGTCCCTATCATGACAGTGAACAGAGAGGCAGTGATAACATCAGTTTGTGACGACAGCAGTTGGTTCTGGTAATTTATGGCTCTCTGACTCAGAATATTTTGTCCAATTTACATGTACGTGTGCTCGATGATTGGCACAGATTGAATTTAACCTAAATGTTTCTGTTTGAACATCAATATATCTCCATAGATTGTACAGGTAACACTTGTGGCAGCTTGCTCGGCTGTACCTTCAGGCCAACAACAGTTAAAATTCCATTCCCAAATCTGCAAAGAAGTCAACAAAAGTAACAACTATTTAGGAAAACTTGCGAGTTGGAAAGTTCATTAACTAACCTGCCAATAAAACGAACAATGTGAACTGGTATCATGAATGGGTAAAACAAAAATGATTTCAGATTCAAAACAATTCCTCAAGTACACAGAACTCATTTGAAGTCTGTGCATGTCAATAGATTTGTCGTGCATTTTGTACCAAACAGGATAATGAAATGAGGGTATATATAACAAGTGATGGAATTGTACTACATAACACTCATTCTATCACGCCACGAGAGTTCCAGATTCCAGCAGGACATAGAGAGGGGGGTTAAGAATGGCGCCTATGTATACGGGTAGGTCTATATTAACACAACGCTTGGGTCCAGCAGACTGAACGTTTATATACAACATACAACATGACATTGGACTGGCCCTCTAAATCCCTTGACATGACCACGATGGAGCATCTTTGGGATGCGTCGTGGGGTACACGTGCGCCAGGACCGATCACCCGACAACGTGGTCCGACGTAGCTTTTCGTGTATGCATCGCACAACATGGTCACGTCTGATATGGACAGACTTAACCGAAATTATTTTACAGACCTTTATAGGCTTCCGCCTTCTCATTTCCCCTGTTCATCAGTTCCCCTATTTTCAGGGGCAGTATATATTATTTCATTACACAATAATAATACACTTCACGTGGATCATGGCACTTAATGTCATTACAATTCAGTTCTAAACTTTTTCAAATACAGTATACTCATACTTTGACAAATGAAATATATTCTCACGTATTTCATAATTAATTTTATTCATTATATCGTGGGATTATATGTTGAAGCTTGTTCACTGAATACTCACACCGCTATACAGACACCATACAAACAAACCATGCCTTTCATCGTCTCGATATTTACAGTCATCTGTAAATCAGAAGTGAATGTCGGTTTAACCGTCTAAAATTCTCATTTAGAATGGTCACAATGTTTATCAATACATGGACGGTGGGGTTAATGCGTTTGCTAGTCACGCCGAAAACGAGGGTTCGATTCCCCAAATGGGTACAATCAGTGAAGCCCGTTTCTGGTGTCCCCCGCCGTGATATTGATGGACTTCTGCTAAAAGCGGCGTAAAACCATACTCATTTCCTTATTGATATATATCAAACAAATGATAAAATACAATCATATCACATGAAATCCACAGTTTATTATAAGCAGGAGAGTAATTTGACACAAGCGCGCACACACACACATACACGCACGCACGCACGCACACACACACATATACACACAGACAGACAGTCAGACAAACAGACAAACAGACATACATACATACATACATACATACATACATACATACATACATACATACATACATACATACATACATACATACATACATACATACATACATACATACATACATACATACATACATACATACATACATACATACTTCTCTTTTAACATTGTAATCTGTGTTTCATCTATTCGGCACATCACACAACATTCGGCGAAGTACTCCGATCTCATTTCGGTGAAGAAATTTTATACACTTGAAACCGATGTTGTTGTGGTTTATATTTATGTACGTATTAAATGAATATGAAAACTTAATGTAACAGCTTTAACCCGAGTATCTATTTCCCTGGTTTTCATTAAACATAGTTATATATTTCATACATTTTCATGAGTATCAAAATCAGCATTCTTAAATAATAAAATTTCCCTTATGCAAGCGATCGATAGCATTGGGTAAATCATCATTGGTTTCGTAAACATACTGGTGGGTCTATGTTTCAGCTGACTGTAACCATAGCAACATCCCTCACGTGCCGACATTCAGGATGGGGAAAGGTTCCTGCAACCTATGTTGTACGCATCAGGCGGAGGCCCCGTGATTGACTGATTGCGTTCAAACGTATTCCGACAGTACGGATTATTGCTGGAGATATCCGACACTGTCCACACTCATTTACACGGCGCCGTGATACTGCGGCGTAAACAACACAGATCATTATAACTCACGTGATAGGTCTCGGTATGAAACCACCCCTGCAGAAAATAACAAAACGCAATGTAAAGACAAACAGTGTAAAGTGTACGTTCAAGAAATAGCCATTTTGTGAGCGATGACCATATTCAACGACTTATGATCACATTCATATGTAGATATACATACTAGATATATGAATGAAAAACAAAAATCAAGAAAGAATTATTGATAATGAAAGTCCGAATTCATTGATACGAGTTCATTTGATACGATTTACAGTAATATAAAATTCAATGTATATTTCATGGAATAATTCAGGTGAACTGCATAACACATTATACAGTAATATATGCTAATTCAATGTAAATTAACTGGAAAGTCTAATTAGATTGACATTAACTACACGTCCACAACAATATGACAAAGAATGTGCATTTTAAAAAGTAATTCAATTAAGTATATAGAATTGACAAGAAATATTCCATGATATAAACTCTCCCAAAAAAGAAACGCATCTTGAAAATAGCAATTTAATGTA